GTATGGGTACTGTAAAAATACAGAACAGGTACCCCAGCCTAATATAAATGGTCTATGACAGGGGTGGGCAAACTTTTTGACTCGAGGGCCACAATGGGTTCTTAAACTGGACTGGAGGGCCGGAACGAAAGCATGGATGGAGTGTTTGTGTGAACTAATATAAATTCAAAGTAAACATCATTACATAAAAGGGTACGGTCTTTTTTTTTCAGTAGTTTTATTCATTTCAAACGGGCCGGATCTGGCCTGCGGGCCGTAGTTTGCCCACGGCTGGTCTATGAGAAAGTATACCAGAAAAAGTAAAGGCCTAAGAAATGATATATTAGTCAAATGAAAAGCAGGAGGAATAATGTTCCAGGCAGAGGGAACACTGTGAAAATTCAAGTATCAGGAGCTCATGGCATATTCTATGAAATGTAAAGGAGTTTACTTTGGCTGGAATGTAGTGATCAAAGGGTTTATGGCAAATGATCAAGGGGTGTATGGCAGGATCAAGTAATATGAACCTTTTCAGCCAATTAAAGGAGCTTGGAGTTTAAGCAGAAACCAATGGGAAGGTGTTGCATGTGGTTTTAAGCAGGGGATTAAGACTCTTCCAGGTAGAAAAAATATGAAGGTGATTATATATCAACTAGAGGCCCAGTGCACAAAAATTTGTGCACTCGGGGGGGAAGGGGGTCCCTCAGCCAGCCTGTGCCCTCTCGCAGTCTGGAACCCCTCGGGAGATAATGCCCTGCTGGCTTATGCCTGCTCCCGGGTGGCAGAGGGCAGGCCCAATCCCTAGGTGCAGCCCCTGGTCGGGCTCAGAGCAGGGCCGATTGGGGAGTTGGGGCGCCGCATCCTGTCACACACAGAGCCGCAGGGCGATCAGGGGGTTGGGGAGCTCCCCCCATCAGGCACAGAGCAGGGCTGATCAGGGGGTTGGGGCGCCTTCCCCTGTCACGAACAGAGCAGGGCGGATAGGGAGGTTGTGGCCCCGCCCCATCACACACAGTGCTGCAGGGCGATCAGGGGGTTTGGGTGATGCACCCTGTCACACTGATCCCGGTGCCGGGAGGCCTCTCAGCTCCGCTGATCCTGGTGCTGGGAGGCATATTACCCTTTTACTATATAGGATAGAGGCCTGGTGCATGGGTGGGGGCCGGCTGTTTTGCCCTGAATGGTGTCCTGGATCAGGGTGGGGGTCCCCACTGGGGTGCCTGGCCAGCCTGGGTGAGGGGCTGAGGGCTGTTTTCAGGCTGGCGGGTGACTGAAGCTCCCAACTGCTCCTTTTTTTCTTTTTTCTTTTATTCTGGGCCAGCTTTAGCTCTGGCTCCAGCTCTGAGGCCTCCGCTGCTGAAAGCAGGTATCTGGTTTGTTTGGGTTCTATAATCGAAACACTGTATGAACTCCAGCTCTGAGATCCCGCCTGGCTGATAGCGGGTTTCTGGGGTTTTGTTTAGCTTCTATATTTGTAACAATGTTTCAAACTGCAAGCTCAGAGGCCAGCAAGGCAGGCGGGGAACGTTGGTTTCCTCCGTCATTGAAGCAAGCAAGCCTCATGTTTGCTTCAAGCTGCCTGGCTGCTGGCCGCCATCTTGGCTGGAAGTTAATTTGCGTATCTCGCTGATTAGCCAATGGGAAGGGTAGCGGTTGTACACTAATTACCATGTTTCTCTTTTATTAGATAGGCTCCTCATAAAAGATGAACAGGGTCTCCAGGAGAGATAGTGAAGATAAAGATAAAAAGATTCAAAAGATACTTAGGAGAGAAAATCTTCAGTATATAGACTTCCAGCTTCTATTAGGTTTAAAAAAGTTTATATGGAACTAAATCTCCCGCTATTAACAATGGTAAGCTCTAGGCATAATGTTGGGGAAAAACATACGCAGTTGAAAGGCATTAGAGAGTGACCAAAAGCAGGTAGAAACTTAAGGAAATTAAGTTCTTGCAATAAAGGTGAAATCTACATTCATGTCACTTTTCTTTTATAGGCACTCCCCATCTGCAGGGTGGAGGGGCAATCCTAGACCTCAATAAGAGAGTAACAGTTTCTGAGACATTAGAGGAGGGATTTTGGGGATGCCCATAGAGGAAAGTCCCATAATGTAGGGGACCTCTGAGGCAGGAGTCTCTAAATCTGTGTATAAACTCTTCCCCAATCCTTGGCTAACCCCTGAAATATTCATATGCAAAGCAAAATATCAAGGATCCCAGGGAAAAACAATAGGTAGAAAGGTGAAATAGCAGAGTAGAGATTTCAGCAATTTCCTATTGCTGTGGAGACTGAGTAGGAACTAGAGTCCCACCAACTTAGAGGAGCTTGATAAACACCACAGGCCAGAAGGGAACCTCACAGGTAAAGACCATATTGATAGAACTTAGCTTTGCCCTAACATCAAGGACAAAAATGAAATAAATATATGATCATTAAAAACAAAATCCTACACAAGATCAATGTTTAACATTTTCTGTATATTTTGTATGAATCAGGTTTCTTACAGGTGTTCTTTCATGTAGTCCTTCTAGAAATTCTAAATGGTAGGTATGGTTATTTCTTGTTTTGCATCTGAAAAAATTAAGACTCAGAGAGGATAACTAATTTCTTGAAGGTTCAAAACCAGATTGAAAGCCAGATCCAGTGAGTCTAAAATCTATGCTATATTATATATAAGACTAGAGGCTTGGTGCATGAAATTCTTGCACTGGGGGAGGGGGGGTTCTTCAGCCTGGCCTGTGACCTCTCGCAGTCCAGAGCCCTCAGGGGATGTCTGACTGATGGCTTAGGCTTGCTCCCCTTAGGGAGGGAGTGGGCCTAAGCCATCAGTTGGACATCCTTAGCACTGCTGCAGAGGTGGGAGAGGCTCCTGTCACCGCCACTGCGCTCCCCCTGTGGGAGTGCACTGACCACCAGGGGGCAGCTCCTGCATTGAGCATCTGCCTCCTAGTTGTCAGTGAATGTCATAGTTACCGGTCATTCTGCTGTTCGGTTGATTTGCATATTAGCCTTTTATTACATAGGACTAGAGGCCCAGTGCACAAAATTCATGCACTGGTAGGGTTCCTAGCGGCTGCTGGCTGCTGGCTGGGATTTCCCTCCCTTCCCCCGACCGGCCCTGCCCCTGGTTGAACTCCCAGAAGACCCACTGGTAGAGTGGGCAATTTGCATATTATGCTTTTATTATTTAGAATAGCACCTCCCCAAACCAGCATACATCCTCCTGGGGATCTATCCTTTTGTATGAGGACAACCATCACTCTCTCTGTAGCTGTGACATACTGGGAACATGTACTTCATGATATCTGCCACCAAATAATTTTGATTTTAATGGAGAATACACCAAAAGGAATCTAGTAGAATGGGGCTTGGGGAGATAATGAGATATGCCAAAATTAGGTATATACTTTAGTTCCTCAGACCCAATCATCACACTCAGAAATCCAATGACAGTATATCTTTATTCTCATCAATTACACCATTTTTTCTGAGCCATCTTTTATTAATGCAATTATTCAGTTGATTCAGTGGTGTCAGCTTTATACTCATTGTTAACAGATTATGTAATGATAGGGTATTTGAAAAGAAATATAATTTTTTAAAGACAGGAGTTATTAAATAATTGTATTACTTTTTCTATGACTTATCTAAAGAGTGCAAAATTATAAGTAAAAAGAAATTCAGAAGAGGAGCAAAGATATTCTGTATTTTTCAAAGAACTGATATTAGCAGTGAGGAAGCAAATAGCCTAAAATGATATCCAAGGCATTGCCATGTCTTTTTCTCTGAAAAATAAGATGGAAGAACATTTTAGGACCATTAGACTGTTCTGTGTAAAATTTCCTATGTATTTTCTCAATTTCTTAATAAAGAAATGGAAAACTTTACTTTTTCTGACATTAATGCCATGTAGATTGAAGGTCACACTATACTGAAATACTTTTAATATTTCTGATTAAATAAATTAACTTGCATTGTACAAAAGTTTACATTGAAAAGGAGAATTTTCTAAAACAATGCTAGCACTATTCATTTCTGGTTGTATTTTGTAGACTTCATTTTTTCATCTGAAGAATGCTGAGTATGCATTTTCATAGAAGAAGGAATTAGAAGAGACTCATAAGCAGCAGGGAGGAGATTTCAAAAAAAATATTGCCTTTTGATTTTCCCTTTAGGCCAAATTCTTTAGTGTGCATTTAAAAATTCTTGGTGTCATGCCAGCTTGTCCTTCTTTCAAACACCCAGTAGCCTCATAGCCAAACAAGCCCATTAGGACAGGTAATTTAGGTTATGTTTGATATATAAGCCATGATGGTTTAAATTTCCAGATGATTATGCAATTTTTTTGTATCACTTTAAGACTTTATTTCATTCCAATATAATACAGATTGGTTGATATTATTACGATTTATCGCTTGCAAAATGAAGTGCTGATTTAGGAGAATTGACTGTAAATAGTGTCCGTAGAATGACTTTTATATGGACCTAGTATATTTATTATTTGTGTTTTCAGAGTTTGTGGTATAGATATACATGCTTCTCAAAATTTATTTTGGTTAAAAAAATTGCTAACATCCCATAATGATTATTAGCTTTGTAGGAATATATAAGCACTAACTTTTTTGTTTGTTTTGTAAGACCTCTTTGATTGTTCCCCTGACAGGTTTTCTTCTTTTTTTCCTCTTTGAATTTAGGATATGTCGTAGTACTTATGCAGGTGTCTTAGTAAATACCTACCAAAAATTCTGCATTATTAGAACAACGTCTTATGGTTCCTTTAGGCTACTAGTCTTGGCCTAATGGAAAAAATAAAAAAGGACATTCGTGAAAATTTCTTATAGATCAAAATTAAATTATATTCTGATTAATTATCAGTAAGCAATTATAGGCCTCCTCATTCAAGGTCAAGACCACATATCCTACTATACCATTAACTAATTATTTTCATAAGTTTCCTATAAATTAAGCACTAAGTTATATTTTCTATTAGACAATAATTTCTTATATAAAATGAATCTTTGATTACTCTACCTTCTCTTCCATGGGCTCTGGGGTAATAGTTGGGTCTATAGCAGAAGCAAAAGCATTTGTTGTGCTGGGTTTTTGTGAAGTTGGAGGAACGACAATTCCTCTACTGGCATGCTTAAAGTTTATCATTTTGTTTTGTAAATATGGCATCACTCCTTCTGCTGGCTATAGAGAATGAGAAAGAAAACAAAGTGTTTTCAGGTTAAAGTACAAAGTCAAATTGGGAAGAATATAAAGCAACAGAATTGAGATGCAAGGCAAGGAATTAATTTAAGAAGAAAATGCCTTTAATATTTTCTAGATTATAATCTATCCTTTAGAAAGACTGTGCAAACGTGGATGTCTCTTGATACTTGTTTAAATGAGTGTACATAGGAGAATATCTGACCTATAATAGCCCCTCAATAAGTATTTGATGAACTGAGTAAATTGAATCTTGACTGGCCAAAGATCTAATTGTTGATGGAATAATAATAATAATAATAAAGTTTTCATTAAAATAAACAATAGTGCAGTAAACTGTAGGTTGTAAGTTGCTGATTGCACGCATCTAGTGAAGTGTGGTAAGGAATCTTACCATTGCAGCAGTTTCAGGACCCGTGCCTATGATGGCATCAAAGGCTAGTTGCTTCTGTCCTCCTGGTCTAACCTGGAAAATTGGAAAGTTTATAAAAGTCTAAATTCTTAATTTCTAAAATACGTTGTTTTGGATCAAAAGCAGTTAAACACTTCCCAACTTCTTAAATTAGTTTCTTATACACAAAAATAATCATTTTGATTTGAGAAAGAGAGAAGCAGCTCCCAACACAGGGAAACTGGCCTGACGGTATAACCCTGCCTGCGTTCTCAGGAGCTCCTTCCCCACCATTCTCTGCTGGGCCAGCCTTGGTGTTCTATTGAATATTAGCAATCCCTACAGAGCACCAACCTGGGACAAATTTGCCTCTGAATACAATGAAGTGACAAAAACAAGACTGCTTTGTCATCTTGTCTAAAACAAGATTACAGCGTGAGACATAAAAACCCTCACATCCTGGCTAATCTGAGTAACTCTGGCTTTTTTACCAGCATGGCCTGGCCTTGCTCCTTTAAAATAAGAATCATTGTTACCCAATCATAGAACCAGGGTGAACCAGCACTCTTTGAACTTGTCCCAAATCACCTGACAACCCCAAATCCTATATGAAGTCATTTCAATACCTTCCTGTTAGGACACTGCACAGTTTCCCAGGTGTGTGTCCTCCCTTATTGCAATAAATAGATAAATCCAACTTTGTTCAGCTAAGGTATTTGGCTGCAGGGCACGTATAGATTTAACAAATTTTGAAGCAAGTAGTTTTAAAAGGTAGTTTTTTTTTTTAACATGAAAAAGTATGCATTTACTTACAGGTTCAACTTGTTGTGGGATATATCCAAATTGTGTATAGAATGGCATCTGTCAGATTTTTGAAAAAATGCATTAGATTCTGATGTTTTTGTCATAATTTTGTGTTAATGGTTACAAAAATTATATATATATATACATATATATATATCATTGATTTTTTTTTCAGAGAAAGGAATGGAGAGGGAAACATCAATGTGAGAGAGAAACATCGATTGGCTGCCTCCCATACACACCCACCTAGGGCTTAAGCCCATAACCTGGGCATGTGCCCTAATTGGGAATCAAACCAGTGACCTTTGGTGCAGGGAACGATGCTCAACCAACTGAGCAACACTGGCCAGGACTAAAATATATGTACATTTATATTATACTAAATGCTTTTTTGAACGTTCATATGTTCTAGGTGGCAAAAAATGTTAAATTACTAAACATCCTTTCAATAGCATATGATTTCTAAGTTAAAACTTTTCCTTCTTCTAATTTAGCATGACAGTTAGAATTACTACTATCAGTCAAAGCATAATTTTCAGTTTTCTCTAATTTGGTTTGGCAAGTTTTAGAGTGGTGTAAAATATTATTTTCCCCCATTCTAATGAAAAGATATCTAGTTATTATGAGCCACCTGAATTTATATTAGAATTCTAAAAATGTATTGCAGGTTCACAAAACTTAGTGTGATGTTATCTAAGTGTATTGCAAGATCTGGTGAACAAAGTAGCTTTTATTATGGTAGCTATTTTCATTTTTCAATTTTATTTTTTGTTCATCCTCACCCAAGGATAATTTTTTCCATTGATTTTTAGGGAGAATGAAAAGGAGGGAGGAGGAAGGAGGAGAGAATGAGGAAGGGAGGGAGGGATATATATATATATATATATATATATATATATAGAGAGAGAGAGAGAGAGAGAGAGAGAGAGAGAGAGAGAGAGAGAGAAACATTGATGTGAGAGAGACACATCGATTGGTTGCCTTCCCCATACACCCTGAGACCTGGTTTTAGAAAACTTCGTTTTCCAAGATGATGTAGTTTTTTCCCTCTGATTTTATTAAATCCACTCACTGATCTCATGATTTTAAAATCCAGTCTTAGAACATTTCCAAATTAGTGGTACTTTAGGAAAAAAACCCCAAATTCTTTTATGATCACCACAGTTCAAGCTATTGAGTTTTTTTTTCACTAAATGTACTTAGCTATTCTTTCCTCTTAAAATTTGCCTGATCTTCTCCTTTCTCAGATGGAACTAGATCTAGTTAGCTTGAAATCAAATGGTTGCAGTACCTGCTCCTCAAATTGCTGCTGTCCTGTTTGTGGAGGTAACTCTGGGACCGTTTGCTGAGATTGTTCCCAGGGAAGGAGCATGTAAACCGGATAGTATTGAAGCATCTAGTTGTAAACAGAAATGAATCAGCATAGTCCTTTTAAAAAAAAATTCTTCGAATGTCAATATTATTTTAAAACTTACTCATATTTAGCAATTTTATAAAAAAAGGACACAAAAGCATTTCTTCCTAAACTTTAGGAACAACTTGTATTGCACGTGATACTGGATTGGACTTTGTTTCAAGGTTGTTTGGTCAAACACATTTAGGACGGATTGTGTTCAATTAAATAATAGGCTTTTGTAAAAGCACACCTTGGGCTTTATGTACAAATTTTATACTTTATGCACAAATTACTTTGCAAATATCTAAGAAGAGGATAGCCTATCTAGCATTTCCCTTATTTTTTGGGAAAGTCATCATTCTGCAGAACATGGTGCTAGCGTTTTACCATAATGAATATAATGTCAGGAATATATTGCCCTTAATAATTGACAGTTTAATTAAAATAATCTATATGCATTTTAGAATGTTTTGAGAATCCTGAGATAAGGAACAAATAAAATCACCTGTAACTTCACCATCCACATAATCAAGTTTTGGCTTCCACTTATGCCTGTGTGTCTATACATGCATATGTTTATTAAAAATGGGAATCGTAGTACATACATAAAGTTTTTTTTTTGTTTTTGTTTTTTAAATATATTTTATTGATTTTTTACAGAGAGGAAGGGAGAGAGATAGAGAGTTAGAAACATCGATGAGAGAGGAACATCGATCAGCTGCCTCCTGCACATCTCCTACTGGGGATGTGCCCGCAACCCAGGTACATGCCCTTGACTGGAATCGAACCTGGGACCTTTCAGTCCACAAGCCGACGCTCTATCCACAGAGCCAAACCGGTTTTGGCCATACATAAAGTTTTATATGATGTTTTGTTTCCTTATTTAATGTATTTCATTAAATACATTAAATACAGCCTAGATCATACATAAGAGGTAAAAAACAACAACTGTGGCTTGAAAAATTTATTTTGTGCAATGTTTCTTAATCCTGTCTAAAATCAACATCACCTGTTGAGCATTTTAATAATTAATCATATTTGGGATCTACTCATGAGGTTTTGATCCATTAGGTAAGGGAAGGGTCCCTGTGGTCGGCAAACTGCGGCTTGCGAGCCACATGCGGCTCTTTGTCCCCTTGAGTGTGGCTCTTCCTTAGCCTTAGGAGTACCCTAATTAAGTTAATAACAATGTACCTACCTATATAGTTTAAGTTGAAAAAATTTGTCTCTCAAAAGAAATTTCAATCATTGTACTGTTGATATTTGGCTCTGTTGACTAATGAGTTTGCTGACCACTGGTCTAGGCATTTGTAATTTTCAGAATTACTACCAGAGATTCTAATGCAAAGCCAGGGCAGAAAAACACTGTTTTAGTAGTTAAAGAAAAGGTGAAGAATTCTGTTTCAACTCTGCTATTTAGTTTCATTAGGATTGGGAATTTAATCTCATTAAGACTTACTTTCCTGGTCTTTAAAATGAAGTAATTCTGCATCATGTATCTAACTCTAAATGCTATGGCATACAATGAGATAATGTCTAGAAGTAACTTTTGGTTTCTTATGGGGTAGGACAAAATTACATAATTATGATTACAGTGTAGTCAAGTGGTGTAAATTTTTATAAATGCTCAGTACTCTGGTGGTGAATAATATAATTCACCTATATCTCTCTTTCTTTGAACCCAGGATATTATAGAATTAGCCTACTCCTGAGAGGATTTTCCATATTAATCTAATGATTCTACTAGTTGGCCTTCATATTTTTAAGATTTTCCTATTTCATGAAAATCATCACCATTTGATTGTAATATGGAATTAAATTAAAAATATGCAAGAACCTGGAAATGTTTTGACCAGAACTTCGTAATTGTCAAATAAGGGGGGCAAGTGTTTCTTATCTCTACATTATATCATTATGTCATATTTTATCAATTTAATACATTTTCCTCTGAAACAAAATTTAGGGTTGGGCAAAGTCCACCCATGTTATTTCTCTCGAGTTTTTCCAAACTGCCAGCACTTCAGATGCAGAAAGGACATAAGCGAGGGTTTAGTGAGCTCCTTTATTCCTAACATGGTAGTGCCCTAGGAACTCAGGAGTCCTGAGGACTCTTCTTAGCTGGTCTTTCTTCAGGAGTTATTGAGTGAGTCCGACATTAACAAACTGATGCCAACCCAGCGATAGCAGCATCCAGACAGTGATATCATTGGATGGGTTTTTATAGCCCTGCTACAGGAGTCAGAGCTACAAATATAAAAGAAAGCATTCATTCAATGGCAAGCGTTAGTAGCCATAGGAGTGATGATATCTTATTTATTTACCTGGGCTTGCTCTTCAGGCATTTTAAAGGAGAACACATAGGGCATCGCCTGCCAAAAAAGAAATCATAAAAAAGTTTTACTTGACTTTTTAAAAAAATGTAATTACATTTAATTTTTCATCAACTTTTATTCCCTCTATGCCCTCTACCATCTCCACCCATCCCCCTCCACCCCTGCAGTCACCACGCTGTTGTCCATATCCATGTTCTCTCTTTTTTTCTCAATCCCTCCATACAAATTTATATATTAGCAGACTTCTATGACAGTAAAAGGTCATCTATTATATGCATTATCATTAAGGCAAATTGCCCCCCCCCAATTATATTTTCTAACACATGTTTTAACATTTTTTATTTGTGGCTATTATCATACAATAGCTGGTTTAAATGATATTTTTCTTGTTAGGAATCAGAAAAGATAAGGAACTTCCTGTGATGGTAGAAACATATTGTGGGGAAGAATTCTTGCTCAATAACTGTTGCCTTATTTTAAAGCTGATTCATATTTGTTTTTACATTCAATGCACATTATCTCAAGATTGAAGAGGTCTGACTTACATTATTAGGGCCCTGGTGGGTCTGCACTGGTGCTTGAGGCTGTGAGGGGTCCAGTTGTCCCACCTGGTTTCCCTGGGCAAAGCTGACCTGTCCTGGGAAAGTTATCTGATTTGGGAACAGTCTAGCAACCTGGTCTAGAGTTGCTAAGGAGAATGGGGAGAGTCCTGGAATTTGAGCTTGCTGCTGTTGTAGAATCCCAGAGAAAGGAGGAATCCATGAATTAAATGGGCTCTGGAAGGAAATAAAAGAAAAAAAAAGGAAGGTTTTCTTTTTCATTTCAGAAACCATTGAAAATCAGTCCTGAGCGGGCAAACAATTTCTATATTTCCATTGCTGCATTATTAGAAAAAGATAGCATCTTAGCACATTATGAGCCATGCAAATAGCATGAACGATGCTAAATTTCCAACGATCTAGAGAAATATGGGGCAGAATGAGGTCAATAAAGAGTATAGTTTCTGAGTTGCCAGACTGGGTTTGAATCTATTTTTTAACCCAGTAGCTGAGTATGACTTTTTGTAAAATAGTTAATTTTAATGATCTCATAGCTATGAGAATCTGTGTCTGGCATGTACCAAGTTCTCAAAATATAAGCGCTAATCAGATTATAGTTTTTACTTAGTGTTCAAACAAATGGTAATTAGAATGTATGGGACAAATTCATAACTTTAGAAATGGAAATTTCAGAAATGGCATCAGAAAACATCTTGTTCTCATAAAAAGTGCCATAATAAGAAATGAAAGGTAGAAAAATATTCTTAAAATAATTATTGAGATAGAGATACCTGAAGTTGTAGTGGCTGAAGTTGAGCATTATTAAGACTCAGCAGTAACTAGAAAAGGAAAGAATATGAAAATAACATTACCACACAGTAAAATTATTAAGATCAGTGTTTACTACAAATAGAGCACAAGTCAGAGCTGACTAATCTTAGGTTCCTGTTAGAGGTGAGATGTTTTCTCACTAAGCTTATACTAAATTACAGTGATTAGAGGTTGGGATTTAACTACCTCTCCCTTGCTGTGTACGGGATTGTACAACTTTAGCCCATTCCAAATGATTTCATTAGTCATTTGATGTCCTAACACCTATGTCCATCTGTATTAGGTGCTATTAAAAAGATACACAAAATGTTTTCATTGCTTTTAAGTAATGGTGAAATAATATTTTAGAAAGAACCTGGTATAGAAAACATGCATGAACACTGGAAATGCATATGGATATGAGAGCACTGAAGAAACAACGAATCTTTAATGCCTCTAACTAGATTTTGAATTTTTGGCTTTTATCTCTTCCCCATTCGACTTTCAAAAAACAAACAAACAAAAAGGAGGAGGTTATTTTAAGTATCTAAACTAACCTCATTGCTGTGGCTTGCAGACAAAAGGCGCTGTGGGATAATCTAAAAAAAAAAAAAAAAGATAAAAGAAGGATTTGGGATTTGTTAAAGGTTTTACACAGTGATTTCAGCTGTACTATGAAATCACTTACCGGGGCTGATAGCGTGGCTCCCAGTAGCCCAAAGAGAATTATGGTTTTCATTTTCAGATGAAATACCTAGGAAAAAAAAAGTGAAATTTAGCTTTAAAAATACTACATAAAAATCATGATAATAATTAGTTGGTATTTTTCAATTAGGAGAGTAGTTGGTTGAATTTTACAGTATTTGCCTGTATATTAAGATTTAATATAAAACATAAATATCTATAATATATATTATTATTTTCTCTCAGAGAGACAAACCAAAATTGTTAGCGCATCCTTTTAGCTTGACCAAATGACTCATTTAGTGGCATATGATGCAGTTGAATGAGTTATAAACAAGATGGCCTGATGCTTTGAGCTGTTCTACATAGAAAGGAGTGAGTCCCTTTGACCATGGGAGAGCCTATGACTGGGTCCTTATTATAAAAACAATTTTAATGTCTATTCAATGTAGTAGTAAAAATACTACAAAAAAGATTTGACAGTAACAGTTTAATAACAAATAATTTTCATTGAAAAGTCTAATAACATTAAGTATACATGAACACTAAAAAACTGAGTCCATAGTTTTGTAACTCAGGAAAAAAGCTTATAAAATTAAGCTGCGATATTGATTTACAGTGCTACCCATGGTAGTATATTATGCCTTATCCTCCAAATGTGAAAACCATGCCCTACTTCAAATCACTGATCTACACAAGTAGTAAGGGTGACCTTGGTAGGCTACCCTGTAGGATTGACTGAGTTTGGTTTTAATATTATGAAAGTGAAGATTTGATATCTTACCTCACTCCTTAGCCTATGAAGAGATACTAGATCCATGCAGGGTCTGTGTTCCTTTTATCTTTTAGCTCTACTGCTTAGAACATCCCTTATATTTTAAAACCCGTCTTTAGAAAAAAGGGACCAATTATTTTTCAAAAGGGCCAGTGATTCAGTGGGTTTTAGACAATGGCTTAGCTAATAACCCCTTTCCTAATCATCTAGGTGGTAAATGGATTCCCACACTTTTAGTAATGCCATTAAATTATCCTCTGAGAAATGTTTTCTTATGATCATTCCTGGTTTCTGCTTTGGTTATGACTAAATCTTTTGGAATAATTTCATTCTGCTCCTTTTTAAAAAATCATCTTGAAAATGGATACCATAATAGAATAACTTTGAAAGCCTTAATGAAGGTCAAAGATTAATGGCAGATATTTATTTTAAGAGTAAAATATAGATTATTAGACATAAGGCAGAGGTCTAAAGGACAAAAATTCAAAACCTACTTAGGGATGGTAAAGATTCTTTGGTTCTTCAATCCTGAACTGAGTAAATATGAGCTAATTTCATTTAGGTTCAATGTTAAAAAAAAAAAATCAGTAAATATCTTTCTATTAATGGAATGAAATGCTAAAAAAAAAAAAAATAAAAAGCCAAATCTCTATGTGTCTATGACATGTATATCCTCATGTGATCGAATGTTTAGGATAAATAATTTCATAAATAGAAAGCATGATGGCTTTTATTTAAAAAGATAGTGGTGAGTGTTTTGCACTTTAAAAATACTTTTTGCTAAATATGATTTTAATATTCAAAATACAACTAAGTGTTATTACCTGTTCATCATGCTATTTCAATTTTTTTTATAAAGTGAGGTTTGAGTTTATTTGCCTTGTTTTTCTTTGCTGTTATTATTGACCCCATTCTGATAGTCCAGGATCATAAGTGTTATGATAATGTATTATCAATTAATTTCTATTGTGGAAGATTTCTTTGGCTAATTTCATCTAGAAACAACTAATGGTGGCCTTATCATGTAGGAAAACAAAGTTATTGCCTTTAAATAAGTTTGTTTTTTCTCAGTAGAATGATATACTTCTTAGAACTTACATGGCTTTTTAGTACTAAAATGATGATAGCATTTGTTGTATAGCCTAAAAAACCAAAAGGACAAAAAAAATTAGTTAAAATAACAAAACTTTTTTTTTTTTTACTAAAGAAGAAAAGCTACTACTAGGATCATATATCTGTTAGAAAGGAACTTCCCCAAGATTTATGAATGTTATATTTTTAGATTGGCTAAGTAGACCACTCTAGATGCTGATGGCTGATTTAGCTATAGCTGGGTGATTAATGTAACAAATTGTTGCCTGGAAAACCCAGTAGATGAGTTGAGTGGTGGACATGGTACATGTTGCTATATTGCCTAATTATACATATTTATAATTAATGACCATGGTCTATTCTGAATATCATCAAATTAAAGACAATATACCCACGGGGTTGATGACATATGTATAAATAAAATATATGACAAAATAAAAAAATTAGTATGCCATAAACTCAGTCTCCTGAGATTTTTATGGCATTGTGCAGAGTCTTCGACAGCTAACTTCACTCTGAACCAGAAAGTTGTCAGGACTAAGCACAGAAAAATTTAGGAATTATATTACAGAGACAAAATAGTCAATGTGAAAATTATCCTGATGATGGATAGTTTCACTTAGATATATTCCTCAAATCTGAAGGTAGTTGGAAGAAAATTTCATTTCCCCCCTATTATTTGAATATTCTAAAGAAAAGCAGTTGAAACTGCTTTTTTTCAAGTTAACGTGGTGAAAGAACAGGCTATGCTTTCCTATCTGATAGTTTCTAACTCCCTGTGTCATTGGAGGCAAAGTTATCTCTGGGTGGGAGAGGAAGAAGCAATATTACATTGCATTGTCTATATATTTCTCCTATTCAGCTATGTTGGACTTATTTTCCTATCCCATGTCAGTCACCTAGTAGGTATACCCACTGGGAAATTAAGTAAATGAGTCCGGTCATTCAGGGGACAAAAAAGGTTACCGATCCAGAGCAATGTCAGTCTGTATGGATTAAGGCGCGGAAGCCTTAAGATGAGGAAATCCTGAACTAGGCATTGTCACTGTACCTTCATTATTTTGTTTTAGTTCAGTTACTAGAACATCAGACACCCTTCATTTACCTAAATGTACAAAAACACATATCAATGCCAAGTACACATGGATTATGTGCTTTGTTCCAATAACATAAATGACGAAAAAGCAACAATGGCTTATAGGTGAGTCCTTTCAAAATGTTATCACTACTTTTTTTTCCCTTCAACTAACTTGAAAAATTAAGAGGCTCACAGAGAACTATTGTGAAGTAGACCAATATTCTGTGAATCAGGAAAGTCAAATTGAATTTTAGCATAGCTTATAATAAAAATAATTTTCTTACATATGTGTTTTATTTTTTTCAGGAACTTATAATTACATATAAAGGTAGGCAGAAAAAAATATATATATATCACTTCCACATTTCAGTGAGAAAGCTGAGGCACAAAAGGCTCAGTGACTTCATTCATTCACTCATTCATCCATACAACTAATAGCTATTATGCAGCTTCAACAGTCCACATCTTTGCTAAGCACTGAGAATTTAGTATCAATTAAACAGACGTGGTCTCTGAATTCATGAAAATTACTGTCCCCCCTCAAACACACTGTTAAAAAATATGCAGCATTATGGCTAGTATGCAGGTCTTTTGATTCTTAATCAAATAATTTTTCTAAAGCTCCAAGTTGCCTAACCAGAGGGGAAAGAGACACAGAACAACTTCAAAGACAGTTAACAGATAAAAATTATAAATGATAGAAATGAAGGCTTTCATAAGTTGCCAGAGTTGAATAATGAATATCAACTCAATGAAAGTAATAGATTTTCTGAGTTTAACAATTACTTTTTTCATGACTTGTACAGTAAATAAAGAGAATAAGCAAGTTCTTAATAAAATATATTTTGGCACATAAAGTGTTCACTTTTAAATTCTATGAAACTCTGCTAAAGTGCCCCCTTCTGTTAAATAAGTGTACATTTCTGGATATTAATCATTACATGTCCACAAAGACAATATGTCCTAGCTTAATGGATCTAGCTTGATTATATGAGTCTAACTTTATTATGTTTGAGATTTGTATGTGAATGTGAGTCATGACTATAAAGTATAATATCCAGGAGTAAATTGTTCAGGAATAGAGAGTATTAAGAAAATGAAAGTAATACATTCCTCCTCCTTTCACAAAAGTACCCATAAGTTTCAGGGAAATTGAGAGAGGCCAGCCCACAAAACTAGGCTTGGGCTACAAACTATCAACTGCCTGTGATTCCCTGAAGTGGGGCCTCCAGAGCATTCAATGAGAGGCGCAAATGCATCTTCTCAAATACAACCCATCCTGGTCTGGGCCTATTCACTTCTTTTGTCACCTGACCTGAAATGTTTCTTTTTTTTCTTTCTCCTGAAACTTTATAGTATTTGTTTGTACCCTTTGCTCTTTGTGAGTTTCAAACCCACTACTGTATGATCCTTATATCTGTTTCTTCTTGAGCTGTGATCAGAGTTTGGCCGCAATCAGGTTTTTGTACGATAACCTTCCAGAAACATCTCCATTTTAATCAAAATCTTATATTTCTAATAACTTGATTTAAGATAAGTGTTTTTGGCTGATTTCTGGCTTTGTCCTTCTCGTACATCTAGCCAAGGCCTTGCTGTGGTCATGGGACTCTTGTATATGTCCCAGTCAGGGAGAGCAGTAGTACCCCAGGCCAGTCTGCCTTAGCTCTCCCTCCGAATTCTGTGGATTGTCTTTTGTTTTTCATCTTGTTACATTAAGTTTATTTCCACAATAAGATTTTATGGTTTCTAATTGCAATGGCCTTTTATTGCTCACACATTTTTCTATCTTGTTTTCCTTTCTCCTTCCCCTCTTTCTTTCTCCTTCCCTTCTTCCATCTATTGATTTACTATTTTTTCTCTTTTATCTGCCACTCTGTTTCTTTTTCTTTACTTCTACCTAACCTGGTTTACAAAGCCCTTAGTGAGCTAGCTCGTGCTCCTACTTCCCTGCTTTTCACTCAGGCCCTCGTTCATTAAGCTCTATGTCTGGAAAGCGCGCTCTCTGATCACTGTACATATAACCCCGCTTAGATGTTCTGTAAAGCTTGTGTTAAGGTCTCACAATTGATATAATTTTTTATTTATTTGGTTAGCATTATTTATAATAATT